TATAAGCTGGGTGTGGTGGTTCATGACTTTAATCCCAGCACTCGGAGGCAGAGGCAGGTGGATCTCTGTGAGTTAGAGGGCAGCCTGTCTACACATTGAGTTCCAGCCAGAGCTACATAGTGAGAGCTTATTTAACAAAACAAACATCAAGAGATTTAAAAAGTTATTTTGTCTATATGAGTATTTTGCTTGTATTTATGTATGTGCACCATGTGCATACCTGGTGCCCACCAAATATAGAAGACGGCATCAGACCCATGGGACTAGAATTATAGATGATTGTGGGCTGTCATATGGATGATGAGAACCAAACCCAAATCCTCTACAAGAGAACAAGTGCTCTTAACCCTGAGCCATCTTGCCAGCCCTGCAGATGGCTATTCTACATACAGATAGTGCTTAGATTCCAATGTTAATCCCCTATATTCTACTCAGTAGTCAGGAAAAGTTGCAACCACATCTCTAGAAATAAAGTACCTTCCTCAATCCCCATTTTCTTGTTTCAAGTGGTGTGTCTTAATATGTTGCCCAGGCTATTCCCCAACATTTTAGCTTAAGCAATACCCCACTTGGATAGAGACCATTGTTCTATTTGATTTTGAGAAAATTCTACTACAGACCTAGTAGTAAAAGAAAGGACTGCTCTGGAGTTGAAGTCATTTCATTTCCTACTCTGAATAAACATTAAATCTATTTTCTTTTTTAAAGTTTGTATAGGGTTTTCAATAGAACCCAAATATCTGAATGGATGCATGCCTTCTGATAAGCTGATTACCTAACACAGGAACCATTTCAGCAATGGCTCATCAAGGGCTTTCACTGTTTATCAAATCATTTCAGTATTAATAAAAAAAATTCCATACCTAAAACAAACTTTTAAAAAAGGAATACTGATCTTATGGTTTATTTGTATTTTGCTTGGTGTTATTGTTTAACTCTAATTTGTAAAATGATGTAGGTGATGAGATGGCTCAACAGGTAAAAGTACCTGTTGTCAAGCCCAATGAATTGAGTTCTACCCCTAGGACACTCAACAGAGTACAAGGTGAGAAGTGACACCTGCAAGTTATCCTCTGACTCCACATCTATGCCATGGTACACATGAATGTAAACATGAAGCCACACAAAGTAGTTTTAAATAAATGATTTTAGAAGTTACATTAAAACACTACCTGTCCTGATTGCTGAGTTCTGGCCCACTCTGACACTCTGCACAGAGAAGACTGCCTTCCTGAAAGGACTGGTCTTCAGTTGTTTTCCAAAATAAGCAGAGCTTTTAGCTGATTAAGCAGCAGAATACCCAGAGGCTACAATGCATCCATATTTGTACTTCTCAGAAGCTTACTATTTCAAGAAACATATAAGCCACTTGCACACTAATTAACACAAACCATCTTGTACCCTGGGAAGTCATACACTCCATTTTTTTTATGGACCAGGCACAAGTGTACAAACACTGATGTAACAGACATACATGGAAAGGGTAGGCTAAGGTCTCATCTGCAAACAGGATACTTTTAAGGTTTTCTTGGCGTTGGAAATGCCTGTTAGATGGGTTAGGGCACTAAATTCTGGCAGGTTAAGAAATATCTTGTAATCTCAGGACTCTCAAAAACAGGCAGTAAGATTAACTCAAGTTATATGCCAACCTGGTTGGTCTACACAGAGAATTCCAGGCTAGCCAGGGCTACATAGACCTTGTCTCAGAAAAACAAAACAAAACAAAACAAAACAGTGCCTTGCACACTCACCAAAGCACCACTACCACGCACCAATAAACAAAAAGAAACATCTGCTAGGCTATAGCTGGCAGCTACCTCTACCCTACACACCCCTTTCTGACTGACCCTCCCCTTTCTTTCCTATCCTCTCTTTTCTCTGGAAGACACACCCAATTTCTACAGAGGGGCCCAATTCCTCGGCACCACCCCTTCTGGTGTCACCCCACCCTTTGAGGGATCCCTTCTTTGGATGATCTCTTTCCCGTGGGTTACTCCGTCTCTGGATGACTCCCAAACTAGAAGATATTCCCCTTATTTCCTCTGGTGTCACCCTGCCCCCTAAATTACTCCCTTTTCAGGATAACCCCCTTTCTGCTGTGTCATTCTCTTCCTCTAGATAATCCCCTCCTCTGGTCTTCTTCTCCGGTCTCTAGGTGACCCCCTTTTCTCTGGGTCACCCACCACCTCTGGATGAGCCCCATTCTTCTGGACCACCCTTCCTATGGGTGACCTCCTTTGTCTTTGGGTCACTTCTCCCCCTCACCCGTGTCTGGGACGCGGAGGCCAAGTTTGGCACCATACGCACCCTGCTCACGGGGAATGCGCACCAGGCAGTCCACTATGCCCTTGTAGCGCGCCTCGGGGCTGATCTGCTTGGAGGACGCCTGCACCTGCAGCAGCAGCTTCACTCGCTCGATGGGTGCCACCGCTGTCTTCGACACAGCAGCCGCGACCCCGCCGGCCAGCAGGTCCTTGGCGAAGGACACAGGGTCGAACAGCCCCTTCTTCGAAGGCTGCTTCTTGGAGGAGTCGCTCGGCATGCTGGACAGAAGACGGACAACCGACGGCTGCAGCGACAAACCAACACCTAAGCCACAATGATGAGGACCGGAAAACCGCTTCAGCTTTATCCTGGCGGGAAAGCGGCGCTAAGGATGCCGGGAGAACAGCGCATCCGGCACGGGCCTGAAGAGCTACTGCGCAGGCGCGCCCAACGGCCTTGCCGCCAGGCGTGGCGCACGTGACCCCAACACGTGTTTCCAAGTGCGCACGCGCAGTGTACAGCTGCTGTTGTGGGGCGGGGAGGGTGAGTGATCCTGCTTGCCGGAAGATCCTTCAACCTAATCGTACTCTGTGATTAAGTGCATCTGAT